AAGCAATTGTCAGTCTTGTGCATTAGAAGGGTCATCATGCTGATGCGCAATGCCTGCCCGACTGCCGCTGCACATTTGCCCAGGGAGCTTCCACGGGTCTTGGGCAGGCCTGGGACAGGGTCCAATTCAGAATGATTCTGCACCCACTCCCTTCCAATGTGGATTGTATCATGCTATGGAGGGCATGATGATCTAGGCTGAATGTGCAGTCTCGTATTAGAAGTGGCGCAACAAGCAGTAGAAAAGGCGCAAGAAGCAGCCGACTGCTAGTGCGGAAAGTCAGAAGCTGGCCCTGTCTGCCCGGGGAGACGAGCTATCCAAAATGAAAGTTGTTGGATCGGCAGGATAGCATCCAAAGTCTTGCTGGGACGCCTCAGCCACAGATAGCATTCTTGCCACGTGCAGTTTGCCTGCATCTGTTTAGACGTCATGCCCTCCGCTCAGGGAGGATGCTGAAGGACTGAGCTCAGCCTGCTAGGTTTGCATTGGGAAGAAGTGAGATGATTTTAGACGAGGACGGCTAGCCGCCTTAGAGGACCAGGAAGGCTACTCAGCCCGGAATCCCAGCCAGATCTGAAGGTTTGGAAAGATTCTATGCCACTTCTCAAGGCCTTAGCTTTGAAACTCAGGATGAGGAGCTGCAGATGTCTAAGCAGGGGTCCAAGCCACCGGAGCTGGATGAGAAAACTGGCTTGACCCTGAATCAGGTCTCGCAGCCAAGCATCCAAGGCCCACATGAAAGGGTTGCCTTTTTGGACATGCATCGAAGAACTCTCCAAGTATCCAGTGCCAACCTGGTCCACTGGATCTTTGCAAGAGGGGGGGCAGGAATTTTGGGCTGCATTGCCCACTTTCTGCAGAGACTGCGCCAGAAGGGATTGCCAGCAGCACAGATAAAGGTCACAACTCAAGCTGCAGCCAAGATTGGCACGCTGCCACAGGATGCCCAAGGAGAGTAGCCGGGCTACGTGCCGTCTAAGATCTGTGCCAGTCCAGCACGCACCACACGGCATGTGGACAGGCGTGAAAAGACTGCAGACATGCAGGTGAGCTTGCCACCCAACGCCACTACTTATCATGATTTTGAGGACGAGGACTCTGTGTCCGCCTTTTGGCTGTGCTGCTTTTGTGTTGGTTTCGTTGGTTACCAGAGCCGGCGCTTTGCCAGGACTGTTCAAATGGAATGCAGCAAGAACAAAAACTGTGCGCGGTACTCAAATCAGCTGTTCTTGCAGGACTTCGATGATGATGAGGATGAGGCATCACCATTCCCCCATCTATCACTTTTGGTTTTTGTGCTGGTGGCACTAGTATGTGCAGCCTGCACTTTGAGAAAACGGAGGCATCCATGACAAGGCGGTGGACATGGATACGAAGAAAACTGTAGACCACGTTTTTCAGACACACCTAGCTTCAGCGCGTGCCAGATGAGTGACTACTCCGATGATCCGATGGAGGAGCAGCTGCGCGAGCAGGCGAGGTTCTGCGGTACCTGGATCAAAGTTTTGATCTCGACAACCGCGATCAAGATGACGCAGAAGCAATGCCTCAGGTCCAGGGCATTTGCATGGGCTTGGCACCTCGACTTGCACAATGCAGCACGTTCAAGTATTCGGACGCGCAGTACAAACCAGCTTGCGAATGTGTTAGCATAGGAGTCTCTAAGCTGAGAGCTGAGGTTTGCCTGGCGCACCATGTGCTTCGAGGGCCGCCCCTCGTCGGCTTATCTCGCCAGAGCCGACTGCTCAACGAGAAGGACGTAGGGGGGAATATCTTGCACGATGTCGGATCTTTGCAGACTCAAGCCGTGACAAAGCTCCCGATCCAGCAGGACTTGCTGGAGGAGCTGATGAGCTTGAGATTCTGGGACTCTTCCTCAGATCGGCTTGGTGTTTCTGCTTGTGGAGGTAGCTGTAATGATGATATGTGAAGATGTCGTGCTGAAGCAGTGCTTCTCCCGGTAGGGGATTGACAGAATGTTGGTCATGGAGTTGATACCAAGCAGTCAGTGAAGGTCACTCATCGCAAGACGCCATCAGACTGGAGTCGACAGCTTAGTTCAAGGCTTCTGTTGGAGCTGATGGTCTTGTGCGATCATGCGTGAGGCCTTGATCGCCTGCGGACGGTGTCTCTGAGATACTCGCACCCCAACCCCATGGAGGTCTGTTACTAAGCGTGAAGCGCGTACCAACAACTTGCTGCGCGTCTAAGTTTAGTGGCCCACAGTCTCCGCCGACTTGCACTTTCCTCCAGTATCCGCACGGAGTTACGCTGATTGCGGATCGGAGCTGGCGTCATTTTGCCTGCCATCTAGTCAGGAAAACTAGCTCTTGAGCATGCTAGCGAGGCCTTTTTCTCAGGCACAAGGATCTTCAGGTCCATTATTTTGGGAACCTAACCGCCAACAAGGGGCCGAGTTTTCTGTGGTCTTTTGTGCAGGGGGCTCTGACATGCTTTTTAGGTCAAGGCACCCTTCAGCTTACGTTTGACGAGTTGGTCAGCAGGTCCACGGGCCACAACCCGACATGTCCTACATCCTGAAGCACGTGCAGGGCCAAGTTCCGCATAATTCCGGAATATTTTCATCTTGTTACTCAACCACTCTCAAACGCCACTTCAAGAAACCGCGCATGCACGACTCGCCTCCAACCTCTCCCTAAAAGTGTGCCAAGGCCAGCCGGGACACGACCTCCGCCAAATCCCAAAGGGACAGATCCTCCAGTTTGGAGCCCGAGTCGCTGGCCATGACACTTTGCTTTTGGAGCCAGACTGGCAGAAGCTCATCTGTCCGCAGATGCAGCGTGCGTGTCAGGTGACGGACTCATGAGCTCTCCTAGAGGAGGTGAGAAGAAGCTGCCAAGTTTATGGATGACTGTTAACTATGCTTCACATTTACACGCCCACCTTTGAATCACTAGCAGGCGCGCGCCATCCTCTCGACACCTCAGTGGGTTCAATAGGAATCGATGGAGGCTTCGGCAGCAGCGCAGGCGGAGGCCTGGGCTCAGAGGGTTCTTTGACTTGAGTAGAGAGGATCTCACACATCCTCTTCGTGTGCAAACTACATCCTACTCCCCCAGACGCACCTACAACTATGTTGTAAGGAAAGTTAGTCCCGGCCCAAAAGCTTCACCTCGGATTAAGGGTGGGCATCTGGGCACAGCCTTTGCATGAATGGGTGCGATCCTGATCTTTTGAAAGGGCAGTATGGCATGCCCAGCTGTGGCCAGGCGCCGGCATCTTCGGAGGGCCTTTGGAGGATGCTACACTGCTGCCTAGTGCTGCCAGACCCCCAGGTTGAAGTGACACATGTATGATGGCTTCGGCAGTTGTATCGTCCATGCGCCTTCAAGGGAAAAGTGGGCTGCTGATTTTTCTCATTATCACAAAAATTACAATCAGAGCTTTTGTTTGAAGCTCAGCTTTGCTGATCTTTCTTGAGGAGAGGGACGAGCCCCAGACTTCAATTTGAGCCTTTTTCAGGCGCAGGGTGTGCTGTCGGAGCCGGTGAACAGACGCAGCGGTCACTATTGGAGTAGAAACGGGGCACCGTTCCGGAAAGGCTGATACAAATCATGGCGCAAACCCTGCTTGCCACCTGCAACACCTGCCTGCAAAAAAGGGTCCGGTTGACGGCACGATTTGCTGCTACGGCGTTTGCTTCAAACCTACTTGCGCTGCCTGCTTGGTAAGCTTTTGCTCCCTGCACTCCCGCCCAAGTTTAAGTCATGACGTCACAGCGAAGGCTGAAGCACACGTCTGCTCTGTCTGGGATTGCCAGCAAGCACACTGGGACAAGACTGAGGGAGCTTCAGGGGTTTTCCGAGCGGTACTGCTGATCATGTTGGCAACATACGGCTTGACTAGATTCCAGAGGAGTGAGCGGATGAAAGTCGGAGTCTTGCAACGCGTGCAACGCACAAGGCTACACTGCTTCCGACTCTCGAGGGCGGCCAGCTTCTCAATGAGCTGCATGTTAGCGGAAGCACAGTTCTTGTTCAATTCTAGCTTTGCTTTGCAGAACTGAACTGGAACCTCGATTCCTCATCTTTGTTTATGTGGCGTGAGACTACAGTGAGAGGATGTTTTAATTGGCTTGACAGCACTTGTAGGTCACTTTGCGACATCAAACTTCGACAAGGCGCTGAGACACTGTAGACAGTGTAGACACCACCGTTCAATTGGTGATGGTGATGCGTTGATATATGGTGAAGGCAGTTGAGCAGCGTGTTGTCCAGACTCGCATGCAATTCATTTTTTGCTGTAGGTGGCTAGCGGGTCTGGACGAGGGTGGCGGACCACGCTGAAGACGCCACTGTCCGCAGGACGCCTAAGCAGCTTCTTTTGCTCCAGTCAGTCACAGTCAGTTGATATGCTGTGTTTCTAGCGTTCACTCTGCAGTTTCTGTGGGTTGGGCAGGTGCATGGTCAAGTGCATGGCCGAGGCCAGAGAGACGAGATCAAGTGGCATGGCCGCGACGCTGCCTCCGCTGCAAGGACTCCAGCTTCAGCAGTGCTAGATTTAATGCCACCTTTGATGCTAAAGTAATGGTATCAATTGCGGCTCCATGCCTTCATGCCAATGTCTTCGCAGGATGAGGCTGCCACGAGCTGCAATACGTTCTTAGAACGCTGACAGCGGCGACAGCGGCAATGATTTTAAATCTTTTTTTGGCGGATGCAGAGCTGGAGAGCAAGTAGCAGACAAAACATGTTCTGGAAATAATGAAACAATGGCTACTTACACTGTATGAATGTATGAAGCATTTGAAGCGAGGGCTGGCAGCGCTGCCAGCAATCGAACCTCTTCAGCTGTAGGGTTCTGGTCTTCCGAATGGAGGGCAATTGCAAAGCAAGTTCCTGCAGCTGAGCAAGTTAACAAGTCCGTTCAAGCGTGCGAATACGCATGCAAAAGCCATGCACAGTGATTCCTATCTTGAGCGGTTGTGTTGCGCTGCACACCCCCATCCCCAGCCCAGATGAGATAATGCACGGAGACAGGTTTGGCTGTCTTCGGCGGCTGGTCCCTGTGGAGGATGACGCAGTCCAAGCCTTCCAAAGAAAGGAGCACCAAGTCCCAAAGGCCTGGAGCTTGCGCGCAGGGCTGTCTGATGCTGTCTGGTTGCAGGGCTTTTAGGATATTCGGGGGTTTACAGAATCCTTGGTTGCTCCTCGCCGCCTCCACCATCAAGCCACGCCTCCCGACCTTAAGACTAGTACGTACTGCATGGAAGCTGCCTTGCGCCATCCCGGAGCAACGGTGGTCACCGCAGCATTGAGCTGCTTGCTGACTGGTGGCTTGGCCTTCGGCTTTTCGGCCCTGATTCCGAGCCTGCAGGATGCAGGGGTATTTCAGGAGGATTGCCGCGACACGGCTCCATGTCGTGCTCAGCACATGCACATGATTTGGATTTTCACAGCTGGAACTGCAGCCTCCGCTCTTTCCACATGGCCGCAGGGTATTTTGATGGATTGGCTGGGGCCCAGGATATGTGGAGTGGTCTTCAATACTGCAGTGGCTGTGGGATGCGCTTTGTTCTCTATGGGTGGTTCCGGGCCTTGGCAGCTTACATATACTGCAGGCTTTACGCTGCTTGCTGTTGGAGGCTCAGGCGTGTTCGTAAGCACGGTTACGTTTGGGAACCTGTTGCCGGAGCATGCTGGGTTTCTAACTGCGATTCTGGTTTGCTGCTTCGACGCCTCCACGGTGATGTTCCAAGCTTTCGCCTTCTCGGTATCTCTTGGTGCTAAGATTCCCATTCTTTTTCAGGTTTATGCTCTTCTTTCCGCCACCCTTGCCGCGGCGGCTGGCCTCTTCTGGCCTGCTGCACCCGTGGCAGGCTCTCGAAAACAACATGCATCGACTGGAGGCTATGATGTTTGGAGCAAGATCCTGCGCTTGGACTTTGCCCTCTTTGCATACAGCGTGGTCGTGAATGTTGTCTGCCTGAACTTCTTTCTTGTGTCGGTGTATCCCAGGATGCGGTCTGTTGCCCCGGAGAATGCAAGGGTGCTGAACTCAAGTTTTGCCGTCCTCCTCCCAGCAGGACCGGGTCCTTCTGGGGAGGCCTTAGGACGTCATTGAATCCTTCTTATGCTCCTTCTTCAGTCCCAATTCAGTGTCAGATTACGTCAAGCCGCAAGCATTCGGAGACTCTGCCAGCAGGAGCAATCCTTTTCGCCCCGCTGATTGGCATCCTGCTCACTCAGCTGGGCAATGCAGCCAGTTTTCTCGCCCTCAACGGTGCCGCTTGAGACCGTTGCTGGGGTTTTCGTGTGGTTGTCGTTGTAATTCATTGAGGCAGTAGGTGAACAAGTGAATACGCGAGTGTGATCACATTAGACTGTCGTTTAATCTGCTCTGCTTCATGCACCTTCATGACAGGTAATCTGCTTACGTCGGAATTACATGCTCACATTCCGGGCCCATGTTATAGATGAGTTTCTGTCTCTCACCTCGCTGGAGCTATGAATCAAAGGACGACCAGCGCTTGTGCAAAGCATCTCTCGACGAATGTTTGGAAACTAGTCGATGCAACAGCCCCCCAAATACAACACCGTGGTCCAGAGGCTCGATTCATGACATGGCCAGAAACAAAACAAACAAGCTGTATATGAAGGTGCAGCTTCTGAGCTTTAGCTGTAGTGCGTATTCCCGAATCATGGCCGTGGCATGCCCTTCGGTTGCCAATTGCCTAATTCCATTTCAGCTTCTAGCCACAGGAATTCCGCTATAGTGTTGTTCAAGCAACAACCACTGCTAGCTTTCCCACCACAGTCCCCAGCACTGCCCACCACCCCACGACTACGAGCATGACCATGACCGCCGCCGCCACCGCCACCTTCACTGCCGCCGCCACTGCCACTGCCACCGCGCACAAGACTAAGAACAGTGGCAGCAGCAGTAACAACGACAGCAGCAACAAAGGCAACGACTACCAGAACTTCATGCTGGCACTCCCTCTTCTGCTACTAGTGGAGTACCATTTGTCCAACTACCCCACTAGAATAACACAAGCTACTACCACTGCCCCCCACAGCTGAGAATGCTTCTGTGATCACTACCACCAATACCTTTTCGTCACCGCGCCTACCACCACTGTGTCCGCCACCGCAGCAGGTGCCACAACCATGAAGATGACCAGCATGGCTAGTACTACCATTCTTAACCTTGTTGTTGCAGAGACAACATCGACGGAAACATACCCGAACGATAATTCCTCGGCAAAGAGAAGCCCTCTAATTGAATTTCTCAATTTGCCAAGCTCACATTATTGGTCTTGCTCTGCTGGATGAAAGAGTCCAGGCTCCATGTAGCACAATGGGCATGAATTTCTAAGATGCAGAAAGTGCAGAAGTTTGTTAGTGACGATGAAGCGGCAAGAGCAGGAGGTGGCAGAGGAGGAGAACAGGCCAAAGTTGTCACGGCCACTGTAATGCAAAGTTCAAACAGGAAATAGAGCACATCAACTGTTTGGCTTGTTCAAAGGCGTGGTCCAACCAATCTCATTGAAAGCCCATGAAAACCCAGGGCCAGCTTGCAGGTGCTTACTTCGTGCTTGTCAATATGTTGGTGCTGCTCGTCTGACTTGGAGGAGTTTGCGCACTAGAGGGCATTGCAGCGCAGTAGCAGAGTGAATTAGGAGCATGGATGATGGGCTCTGGCAGTTCAGCATAAGGGGTCAAATGTTTGGCATGCCGATGTTACAGTACTGGTCTTCATGAGATCTGTTGAGTCGTAGTCAGTTCCTCCGGCATTAGCAGGGCATGGGCAAGGGTCCGGGTTTGTTCTCAGCCCAGCAGGATTCTTGGAATAACCCTCCCCGGAACTGTCAAACTTTGCCCAGGGTCTTTCACTTGGAGATGCATGGAGCTACCTTCTGCATTTGGGTGGCGTTCCTGCTATTCACGCTCTACCGGCCGCTGGTCTACTCCTTGGCGAATGCTATGTGTGGACCTGCCGGGCAAGGGCAAGCCTAAAGTCTGTTGCTTCAGGGGCAGGCTTGAGGATGTTTGATGCAAGTCGAAACGTAAGTGCACGAGGTTTGGGTTCTGACATGCTCGCTTAGTCTTCAACTGCTAGCGAAAGTGGTGCAAATATCTTCCGTGGATGCCTGGATGCTGTGCCTTCTTGCACATCCGAGGCCTGGGATGCCCAGGGAAGAAAGACCCAGTCAAACCGTCCGCTGTGAGTCTTCTTGTTTCCGATTTCTCTGTGGGCGTTGGTGCTCTGTTTGGCAGCTTCATGGCGATCACCGCATGACTGCACAACTATTGACAGCTACAATGTTTAGGGCCGCAAAAAGACGACCTACCCACTCACAAGCGCCACTAGACAGACATGTTCTATCCAAATTAAGCCCTGATGTCCCTTTAGACCGACACTCCGCTTTGCTGCTTTTCATTGGAAGGGAAGTTTTGCGCTGATCCCCCATCCCCATCCTACAGCCTTGGAATCCGCAGGAGAGCTTTTCGGCTACCACTGCTTTGGCCAGATCTATGGTCTGGTGATGACCCTTGGGTGGCACTTGGATATGGTTCAGATTTTGAATGGCCGAAGAAGCTTCTTCGTGTCTAGACGTTTCAAAGTCAGAGCTCTATGACAAAAACTACCGCAACGCTTCTGAGGACCTTGGCAGGCTTCTGCAGCTTCTTGGTGTATCCCTTGGCGGGCCTTGCCTCCACCTACGGCTATTTGACAGTGGACTGCAGTCTTCTGTTGCTGCAGGCACAACAAATATCAAATACTACCTCAGCTCCCCCCACTGCCTAGCTTTTTTTTGTGGATCTAGTTTGCTGACGGTCAGGTATCCACCGCTGCTCTTCCGCTTCGGATGCTCTGGAACGGTTCATGCCATGTACCTGTGCTGGAGCAGATGCGATCCAAACCTGATCTCCAGTATGGTTCAATCGAATGAGTCAGCTGGCACAAGTCAGTTCGTGTGAGAACTACCTCAGTACTGTAGTTTCCGGATCGAAGCGCGAAAAAAGGGGGACGACTCCACGCGGCTAGTCTGGTCACTTTGATGGCTCATGGGGCTCATCATTTGGGAAAGGCCTTGGAAACATGGTCGCAGGCGCCAGGTACGGGTGATATGTGGTCTTGAACCGAATAGCAGGCATGTAATTGCTCATCCCTCGAGTACCTCACTCTTGAGCAAGTTTGTTGCTTCAGACCTATTGCAGGCAACAAGTGAAGGCCGAGGCGCGCTTGGAGAAGAAGAGGAGGTGAATTCTTGCCGCATGGCGGAAAATTGATTGCTTGATTGATGACAGGCTTCTGCTGATTGAAGATTTGCTGTTTCCTTCAACTGAGAAACTGCGTGCTCAGTTGCGGCCATTTAGCTGGTGCGCGGCCTTGCTGTTCGGCATGCAGGCATCTGGCTTCCTGCAGGCTCACCTAAAGGCTCTAATAATCCGAAAATTTTGCGGCCTTTCGGCGGAGATAAATAAAGAGGTTCTCAATTTATCGAAATTTCTGAACGAATACGAGTGACTAATACTTTCGGGCACTGCGGATCACCTTACCTTAGCACCATCTCCCCTTATAAATATTCTTCTAAATATTTGCCGGATGTTTCGACGGTCTTATACCGGGATTATTTTTGAAAAATATCTTGGCTCAGATATTTCAAGATATTAATTTCAAGTGTCCTGGTCTAGATAATAACTCGTATATTTTCGAATAAATATAGATCTATTGAATATCTACGAATTTTTTGAATTCATGACGGGGAAAATGCGCGCAAATAGAAAATTTAAAAATTCGTAGAAAATTTCACGAATTTTAAATTGCTATTCTTATTGGGGCGTTGTAGTTAGGGCGCTGCAAGTAGGATTTGAGAGAATTATCGTCTGAGGGTAGAATATTGATAGGTTGGTATGCGGATATTATTAGGGCGATTGGCGGAATATAATTGAAAAGTTGATAAAATTGATTTTAATAGAATTTTCTTGGGAGACTCAAGGGTCCGAAATTACGAGGACGAATTTGAAAGGAAGCTATAATAAGATCTTAATAGGAAGATGATATTATAGGATTATTCTGGAAGGAATTATCGATTTTTTTGCCAAAGAAAAATTTATTGATTATCCTTTTACGATATTATTTGAATAATAGCTACCTCCACGCAAGATTCATTTTTGGGCTGTCGTAAGCGTTCTACGACATGAGCTATTGGCACGTAGTTTAAAGGGCAAGGAATTGACGCTAATCTGATATTATTAATATGGGAATTATCGCGCGCGGGCCAAGAATAGAAATTTATCCGAATGCTATTATTAGAAGGCTATTATGAAAATATAATATAACGACTTATCGACTATATAATATATTAGAAGGGCTAGAATATTCTCGCAAGGATATTATGGGGAGGTACTGTCAACTCGGAGAGTAAGGGCGAAGAATATCGAGATTACGCTAGATTATTAGAAGAGAAATCACGAGCTATCCGTTATTGGCGGCGCAACGGCGAGAGAAATTCTTGGAGCCGTTATATGAATTGGACTGGCTGGCAACATACGATCTTTCAGATTGATATTATTAGAATTAGTCCCACGATAATTTGCTGGGCATCTACAGATTGGTGCTATCAATAAGGTTTGTAATAGGATGCTATCGTCGATTGACAATATTCTTTTTAGAGAAATACGTAGAAAGATATCGTTATGCGGGTCTTCTCGGCGGGAGAATGAAGATATTTTTATCAAGATTGATATTGCTCGTTGCCAGGATTCTTTTGATAGGGCTTCTATTTCGAAGATATTCTTGCCTAGGGGGCGCGGATCCCAGGGGAGTGCGTATGCGTGCGGACCAAAGGAAGATATTATTCGAGCGCCGTCCGGGCATTATTACCAGGATTCTGAAGATTGCGCCGGGAATTATCAATTAATCTCAGGGCGTTGTAGAAGGATCTATGATATCCGGAGCTTTCGGATATTATTATTAATTGATAAAGAAATCACTCCTAATTTGAAATTATAGAGATGCTATTCGTTATCATATTTTCAGGGAGCGATTCGCAAGATATTCTTTTTATGCTCTTGGGCAAGGAGAAGTCGACGTCCAGATCAAGGGCATTTTCTAAATATATTTTTTTCTGAAGATTTCGGGACGTTATTACTAGGATTCTGGGCAAGAACTTCCGACGATTATCATTAGAGATTTATTATTAGGAATACTATTGCCATGATGACGTTATCGCCAGAAATGATATTCTATGATTACCAACGAATTCTTATCAGGATATTATGATAAGGCGGGGAGGGAATTCGTTGGCAGAGAATTTTCAAAAGAATGCTATATTCAAGATAATTATTCAAATATAGATCTAGTAATATTATGGAATAGATCGAGAGATGAATGAGATGACGATTATATAGATTCTTGATATTTCCGCATTTATTAAATATCTATCTTTTTAATTTCTTTATTCTTTCTAAATATATAGGAAGGATTGATTATATAATTCTATGATTATAAGATATAATTGAATATAATTATATATAAATTATTAGCGAGATATATATATTCTATCTTTTAAACTTCTCTATTGAAGATTTCTAGCATTGATGATAAGAATAAAGATTATGATATAGCGATAGATATCATAGAATATTAGATGACGAGATTATTCGTCTAAAATATATAAATCTAGATATCATGATATAAAATGATACGATTATAATATATGAATTAATAGATTCCGGCCTATTCTCATGAAATATATTATCCTAAATTTCTATGAAATAAGAAGAATCTATAAGGAATTAGAATTTCTAATTCTCCCAAATCATTTATATATCTCTTATATCTTTATTTATTATATAAGAAAGAAGATAGATTTCATCTTTTTGATGATCATATTAAAGATTTATTGATTATTTTGGATTCTATAGATAATCTTTTATCTCTTATCTTATAAAATGGAATATTCTAGGGAATTTCATTTATATTCAGATGAAAATAATTCTATATTTGATATAATCTTTCTCTATAATCTCAGGATCTGAAAATTATATAAGAGAATTCTATTAATATATCTTAATTTTTTAATCTATAGAATCTGAAAATCTTGATTCTATATTTTCCTTATCAAAGATTCTATTAATTTGATAATGATTATCTGAGATATTTCTCAAATTCTCTTATAAAGATTCATCATTCTATCTTTCGTCATATTCATTCCTATATATATAATTTTTTTTGGAATATATTTCATATCTAAAAGGAATTCGGAAATCTATTCATTATTTTTCATTCTAGATAAAATTTCATAAATCCTGGGCTCCTGATCGCCTTCTTATCTATATATAATCATCATATTGAAGATATTGAAAATAAAAATATTTTCAGATTGATTTTATCTTTAAATATAATTCCTGAATATATATATGATTCAAATTTCAATAGCGATTAATAATTATATATAATATCATATTTACTAGAGGATATGAATTTATCATAGATAAGAAATTTATATATATAATTCGAAGATCTAGATTTGAAAGATTTAGATCTAAATTTTCAACGTATTCAATCTAGAAAAATGAGACGAATAAGAATCCGAGATTTCAAAAAATCCTTATTTATATCGACAATAGATATAATAATTGAAATATATGAAATTCCTAATGAGATTTCTTTTCTTTCAGGCATGCGCTCAATCGTGATAGATCTATTCTTTGATATCAATCGTATTCAAATTTCAAAATATATAGAATCAGAATAATCTGATCCAATATCCTAAAAATTAGATCCCACAGAATCTATTCCTTAGATCCTAAATCCTAGATAATAAATCCTAGGATCTAGATTTATCTTATAATATCTTAATATTACGAATATTCATCATTCGCTCTTAATCTAAAAGATAATTTTCTAAATAGAAATTTCGGAAAATGAAGATAGTCATTATCCAATGATATTTATAATATCATCTTTTAGATATTTTTTTTATTATTCTTCTCAAGATTCGATCGATTATTCTTTGACCTCTAAGGCGAGGAGTCAAGAATTTGGGCCGCCATACGCGACGAATTCAATATCCAATTGCTATATTTCCCCTACGGTCGCAGCGCAACAAATCAAGATTTTATTGAAAAAATTGACAGCTAATGCAGCTATCTCTTCCTCCGAGAGCCAAATTGAAGAAAATATTAGCGCCTACTCCAGCCCCTCACCAAGCTGATTCAAACGAAATTGGCGACGAATAATTGCGTCTGCAGATTGGATTAGACCTTTTCCAAATCCCACCGCAACGATATTTCCAATTATCTTGTATTTCATCATTTTCATGATCTTTTCTATTTTTCCCCATTTGATAATTTTATAATATATTCGCTATTTTTCTAATTTTTCATGATTTTAAATTCATTTCATCAATCCGTATGATATTTCATAAATCTAGATCATCTCTCGCCATTCATTATCCATCATCATATCATATCATCTTGCGTCAATTTCTATCATTTTTTTTCGTCATATCTCATCAAAATTAATCAGATTATTTTCGTCTATATTGATGATTTTTATTCTATCTCATCATTTTCATTTTCTCTTCATCATCTATAATGATATTTCATCATATTTCAAAATTTTCCTAGTTTTCATCATATTCAATATTTTCTATATTTTCATGATTTCTTCATATTTTTTCTCGTTCATTTTTCATCATGCAATAATTATTTTCATAATTTTCATAATCTAATGAATTATATTTTTTATTCACGGATTTCAATTTTTTTTTATTAATATCATTTTTATTCCTGATTGCATCGTACAAATTTCTCATAGAATTTCATAATCATTTTTTTTTTTAAATTCATATTCATCTTTTTAATAATTCTTAATCCATAATCTATAATTTTTGATATTATGAAGATTTTTCATCATTTTATATTTTTCTATTCTTTATCATCATTTCTAATTTCTTTTTATTATCTTCATGATATTATCTTCATGAATTTTAATCATTTCCAATTTTTATTCATTCTTCAATATGTTTCATCCTAAATCAAAACCATATTTCCATCATTTTTCATATTTTCTAAATTTTTGCCTTTTCGATATTTATCCCCATTTTTCATCTACATCAAGAATTCCTCCATTTTCTATAAGATTTATATTCTTTTTATCAATTTATATCTTTTAAATTCATGTTTAGATATCTATATTATTCATAATTTATTAATTCTATTTTTTTAAATATCGATATTAATTTTCTATCAATA